GTAACATGTTCTCAAAAAATTAGGGTTGGCATGCAGAAGAATTTTGAGTCAGAGATTTTGCTGGTTTTGGCACGCACTCACAAAAAGGTTGCCCACCCCTGCCCTAAGCATTCACTCCACCCTACCACCTTTTCTGAAGAAATGTTGCTAAGGCAGAGTATTCTTTCTTCGGAGCCCTACAAATTACACCAATATTAATGCCTTTCTGAATCCGTGCCTTCTGCTTAGCTCTCAACTCCCACAGAGCTCTCCTCCCCACCAATCCCAAATCTCTGCCCTGAACTCTTAGAAAGTCCCAGTTTCTGCTCCATTCACTCCACCCTACCACCTTTTCTGAAGAAATGTTGCTAAGGCAGAGTATTCTTTCTTCGGAGCCCTACAAATTACACCAATATTAATGCCTTTCTGAATCCGTGCCTTCTGCTTAGCTCTCAACTCCCACAGAGCTCTCCTCCCCACCAATCCCAAATCTCTGCCCTGAACTCTTAGAAAGTCCCAGTTTCTGCTCCCTGGCCCACTGTGTTTTTTGTTGTTGTTGTTGTTTTTAATATATTTTTATTGATTTCAGAGAGGAAGGAAGAGAGAGAGATAGAAACATCAATGATGAGAGAGAATCATCAATCCGATGCCTCCCGCACGCCCCACACTGGGGACCGAGCCCTCAACCTGGGCATGTGCCCTGACAGGGAATTGAACCAGTGACCTCTTGGTTCCTGGGCCGATGCTGAGCCATACTGGCCAGGCAAGGGCTTTATCCTAGAGAAGACACATGGATGGGAAGAGCCCTGCCCTCCCACCCTCCTGCGGTGGCTCTGCAGGCACTCCGACCAGCAGTAAGCGTGTGTGTGTGCTTTGGGGTTTTGCCAAGGGAACAGGTACTCAGAGTCGATCCCTGAAAAGCCCATAGTGTAGGGGTCTCCGTCAGGCGGCCTGTGAGCTGACATCTGCTGGTAGAGTTCCGTTAGGTCTGCGCACATTTCTGTTCGTTTTAGTCCAGTTGGTTAACTGGACCCTTCAAATGACTAGAGTTTTATAGGCGCCTGACTTTTAGGTGAAAGAGACAGGTCGCAGAGAGCACAGGCCACAGGCAAGTATTTTAAAGACCCGCGTTGACCTACCCCAGGACCTACCCCGCGGGGCGGGGGCGGGGGCGGGGCCTCTGCCGGAAGCGGAGTTGCCCTGACTTGTAGCTTCCTCCTCTGTTTAGACGGCAGACTAGACGGGCACCTCCGTCCAACCCAGAACTTTCTCCCCGTCCTTTGAACTGTGTTGACCGTTGATCTGTACCCGCCCCGCGGGCTGTGCTCTGACTTCCCTAAGGTGAACCCTGTCCAGCGCCAGCCTTCGCTTCTTGCCTCTTTCTAGGAACCGCTGACGTTGCGCCATCTCCCGCCAAGTTTGCTCCGCCTCTCCGAGCTCATTAAACCTCAACTTCTACCCGGTCTAAACCCCTAAGCCAAGGGTGGGCAACCCCTGGCACGCGTGCCAAACATGGCACGCCAGTAACTTTTGCTGGCACGCGAAACCCTCTCATAACCTTCCATTTACAATTTTTTTCTTAATAT